TGAGGATTTTTTTGTAGTAAAAAAAAAGTAGTAAAAAAAAAAAGATGTTTTTAGTTTGTTCAAAGGGTGGTACAGTGGCTCAGTGGTTGGCACAGTCGCCTCGCATCAAGATGGTTTGAGTTGGCATTTCTCTGTGGAGTTTACATGGTCCCCCTGTGCTGGCATGGGTTTCCTCCGGGTGCTCCGGTTTTCCCTAGTCCAAAGACATGCGCTACAGTTGAATAAACTGGCCAGTGTATGAGTGTGAATGAGAGTATGGGTGTTTCCCAGTACTGGGCATTCACCGTGTAAAACATAAGTTGGAATAGCTAGCAGTTCATTCCGCTGTGACGACCTCTGAAATAGAGACTAAGCCAAAGGTAAACGAAAGAATGTTTGTTCAAACTACTTATTTAAAATGAGCTAAAACACCAGTTTTTTTTGTGACAACTCAATTGTTTTATGTTGAATTCACTTAAATCTGTAAAAGTCAAGTTAACTTAGTGCCTTCATGTTATCCCAACACAAATCGATTGTGTGGAACCCAACATTTTTTTTTGCCTTCCTTTAAATTCCATAATAATAAACCAAATTTGTCATTATATATATCTGCAAATAATCGGTTTATCTGCAAACAGAAATGTTATAACTCCTCAGCGATGTGACAATTTTTGCATGGCGTATTTATTTGGACGTTTGTTTAAGTGGCTGAAAGGAAGTGCAAAATTGAGATCAATGCGTTTCTCTCACAATGGCTGGACCAGGTACTTTTTCCAAATGCAAGCCGACTACCTGTTTTCCCATAATTAGGAAACTGTGTTTTCCAAATCCTCCTTACCATCTCTTTCCTGCTATTGTTCCGAAATGGCAGTCATGTAAATACCAGTTTGCAAAATCTTTTAATACGCTGCGCTGATACATGATGAATGACGCTAGTTCAGATGTTAAACGGATAGTTCAGCCAAAAATGAAAATGATCTCATCCTACATGTAGGTGTGCCTTTCTCCTTTCAGGCAGAGTAATTTTATATTAAATAAATAATACCCTGGCTCATTTGAGCTTTGAAGTGACAGTAAAGGATATTATTATAAGTTGTGGCAAGTATTTTAAAAGGCGCAGTATGCAATAGTCACCACTAGAGGAGACGTTTTCACTATAAACAAATGCAACACAGGCTCATTGTGCATACAAACCAGTCTACATTTCTGGAGAGAAATTTAAATTATGTAGCCAGAGCTATGTATGGCTGCATTTCATTCTTAAAATGAACGCTATAGGGTGGAATGTTGACAGCATCTGTTCTTTTTCGCTCTACCAACTGACCGCTCACCTCCATATGGATGGCTTTTCCGCTGTTGTCAGTTTGCCCAGTAGCTCGCCATGTATGTCAACGAACTTAGAATGTGGAGCAGAGATGAACGTTTGAGTCCGTTCAAACGCAGGTTACCAGTTTGACGACATAAATCAGCCTTTAGGCTCGATAGAAGCACATTTCTGTTTAAATCGTGTTCTAAATAAATCAGCGGCACGTGATAGAAGTAATATGTCCCATATAAGTTTGTCCTAACCAACACCTGAAATTTATACTTTAGAAACGACTTCTATTTCTTGCAGCTAAAGAACTGGATAAACTGACAATGATCACCTCAGGTACACCATATGTGCTTTATTCTATGTTAAATGCTAATAGTGTGAGTTTGAATGCCATTTTACATGACATTTATTGCCGTACTACTGAAAGCAGCAGCAGATAGTTCACATCAGATCTTCAAAATAAAATAAACTGTTTAAAATTAGAGCTGCGACTCGAAACCAACACATATCAGTGATTCAGCATCTACATTTAATCATGTTAAAGAGGTTTAATATGTATTAGTAGGATTATAAACCTAACCATTTTGTGTGCGAGTGCATATTATGTGCTTCTGAATGGCTGTATTTATTTCCTGAATAGTCTGGTGTAAACAGCCAAATTGCTTATCAATGCAAATCTTGTCAATCATGCTCACCTAATGTTTACATTCGTAATATTTACATTATTTGCTAATAAATAACCTCATGTGAAACTCTGAATCTCCGTCTCAGTTTGGAGTCTGCTACTTGTCCACCAGAGGTCGCGATTCGGTCACGGGCGCATGCTTTGAGAGCCTTTCGGGGTGATAAAATAAAATTGGCTAAAGTGGCATTGGACAGGTTAAAATAACCAAAACAAAGACAGATGTTCCGGCACATAACACACATTTTCAAAGCAGAGTATCTGACTTCAGCATTGTTTTTCAGATAAATAAGAACGTTCACTTGGCATGTTTCTTAAATATCTGCAAACATATTGTTGTATTTGTATGCTTTAGAAGAGTCAAAAACTTACATACAGCACCTTTGTGTGTTGGTTATCATTCTTCTCACAGCTAGCTGCTTGGATTAGGCGTACATCTGTCGTTTTCAGCTTATGTACTCATGTTCATCTGCAAAAGTGACCATCAAGGGTTAAAGTTTTACCTCTAGCCTCATGTGCGGTTATTTATTAAAAAGCTTTTCCAACACATCGTAACCTTGGATATGTAAACACAGGTAAATGATGACAAACTTTGACATTCAGTCCTGTGCATTTCCGTTTTTTATTATGCTATCAGTGCAAATAAACACCAAAAAAGACAGAACATAAGAAAACCGAAAGGCTCCAGTTTGTCACAGGAGAATATGAAAACATTATTTTTTTGTAGTTATTCACAATTTTTGCAGAATGATTAAAAAGAAGCTGTATTTTAGTAAGTTAAAACCAAACGAAAGCATTCAGAAATCAAAACAATATGCACATTTTTTTATTTCCTCAGGTTTGAGCGCTGGCTCAACAGTCTAGGACTGCATTTGCAGACAGATTACGGTTTAAGTACCCATCTCTCCATGATAAAAACATCTATTTTAAGACTTGACATTTCCCCATAACACAGGGACTCCCCATGCGTGTGCATGCTACAGGCAGCAAAGAGCCTCGGACAGAGCAGTAGATGAACAGATTATCATTAGCACAACATAGACATGCAGAAAAGTCTCGTTCTCCAGTACCCTATGTACATTATTACAGTCTTATTTACAACGCAAGACATTAAAAACTACTTTTTTGTGTGTGTCTTCAACAATACAAAATAGTCATCTCCAAAGCAATATTTACATAAATCGTTCTAATCGGTGTAAAACATAGAGAATATGGAATAAAATCTTTGTAGGATAATGTTTAAGACTTGAGTGATGGGCTTTTATCTGAAAAAAAAAAAATAAAGTAAAAGAAAATAGTGAACATATTAACAAATCAGACTCAATCGAATCCCTTCTCACAGTAGAGCGTCTGATTCACACAGTATCATGACACATTGATAGTCCATAAATATCATAATGAATCCTCAGGGCTTTGGTGGAGAACCTGTATCATCTTTCAGTATTCCTGTCGACAACATAAACGTGAATGCTACATACAGAATATTTAGGTAAGATACAAAACGACTAAATCATACAAAATTGTAAAAAGATACATTTCATTGGCTAAAAATATGACACTCAGGTTTGTTTTTTGTTTAACGTCATGCCATTACCACCACATAACAGCTATAGTTTCATTCCGGATGAAAAATAAAGCACTGTAAATCTAACTAAGCTACGACTATAGAACATTCCAGTAAATGTTGTTGCTCTTCTATCACATGTGAAAACCCTCTTGATACCTGATAGATTACACGGTCTTTCTCTTAACGTTTGCTGTAAGAAAATATACTTTATAGCTTGACATTTCAATGCCACAAATTTGATATTGTGCTTAGATTGTTCGGTTGTCTTTGCTTTGATAAACTGGAAGGGGTCCTGATTTGGCTGGAGATAAATATAGTGTGAAATTAGCGGTAATGTTACTTGATTCCTCAAAATTATGGATGTTCTTCATAAATGTTCTAAGTTGAGGGAGGAAGATACGTTTTTTTTTTTCATGTGGTAGATATTTTACATTGTGCTGGGCCATCACACATACAAATGCTAAATAATTATAACAGAGAATCATGTGAACGTCTCATTCTCAAACGTACGCATGAATACATTTGAAAGTGTTGGTGAACAACCAAACTACGTTTTAAACTGTGCGACAATGCTCTAAGGTCAAATTTCAAATCATAATAATAGTAAAAGATAAATCACAGACAATTGACCATACAAATTGTTTTCATGGGTGCCCATCTACCATTTTTCCACAGAGCCATTTAGGCTGTCTTCTCTCTGGCTGTGAAACTGTCTGTGAACCGGAGAGTTTATCCTGTGCTCATAGTCACCCATGACGCAGTGGGGCGACTGCATCTGATCCCGCATCTCAGGTCTGAGCTGACCATTTCCCCGCTGAAGCATGTAGTAAAGAATCGGATTAGACCTGGTTAAAGGGGGCGAGTCTGGACTAGATCTCTCCTCCCTGCTAAAAGTTTCTTCAGGAGACCCCTCAGGTTCTTTTTTAACTGGTTTAGGGCTGGCTTTGGGAGAGACATTAGCCCAAACTGGGGTATCAACGGGTGTGGGCGTAGTTTTGGGGCCAGAACTGAAAGAATAGGGATACCATGGTAAGTTTGACAACTCTTGACGGAAACCAGACTGGGTCAAGTTCCCATTGGCTGCACAGTTTGCCTGAGGGATGAAGGGACTTGGGCTACCTCTGGGTTGGGATAGCTCCTTCAGACAGTTTTCTGACAGGAGAAGTTGCTTGAGAACATTAAACCCTTGGCTTTCTCTGGAGAGAGGAGTTTTGTTCCCTGGACTCCCTAGTGCTTTATCTTCCTTTAGTTTTTCCAGCCCTCTACCTTTCAATTCAGGTGTTCCAGATGCTGGATTGTCGCTAGTCACATCTTCAGGCGGTTGACAGAGTTCACTACTTAGACGCTCAGCTAACTCAATGCACAGTTTTCTTTTCTTCGGAATTGGACTGTGAAAATCCATTGGCTCCTCTTTTACAGCATTCCTGACAAGCCTTGTGTGTGGGCTCGAATGGTATATGGCATTCTGCTGTTTCAAAAGCTGGCTGAGAAGTCCAAATTTAGCAGCTGTTTCTGTGGGACATAGCTCGGATTTGATTGTGTCCTGTACTTCAGCAATGGGGGAGTGTTGTGATGATCTACTCAGGTGGTGCACCCCATCATTAAAGCGGTCTGATTGAAGATTCTCTTCTACTGGCTCCTTTTTGATGTTAGGGTCCAGAGAAGGTCCATTTGAGCTGTCACACTTAGCAGAGCCACCCTTGCCTTCTCCATCCCCCTTGAGGTAACTTCTAAGACTCTGTGTCCACTGTTTTTTTCCTTTTGGGAGGCTGTTCCCAGTAGAAGCTGCAGTACTGTGCGCTTCTCAAGAAGGTTTTCTATCTGCAATGATGAAGAGAGTGATTGCTCACATTTGGGGGAACCTTCGTCCAATACAGGGGGACTGTTCTGTTTGGCTGGAGTGACAAGTCTATTCAAGAAGGCCTGGGGCTTTCCAAGCTCAAGTACTGGACTTTGCCTTTTGCTTGTCAACTTGTGAGGGTGTAAAGGAGGGGGAGAAGGTGACAAGTTCTTTATACCACTCTGGGCCAAATTCTGCAGTAGCTTGCTGGCACTGAACGGCGGCTCCATCTTTTCACTTGAGTGAGCTTTAGACTTGCAGAGATCTAAAGGACTGGACTGGGCAACGGGTGAGGGGAAGGAGTATGAAGGGGAGACTGAGCTGAAGCTAGCTACTTGCCGGTCCTGAGGGCTCTGTGTCCTGGAGTCCTCTGGTGTGCCAATGCGTTTAAGTGAGCCTGCAGTCAAGCAGCTGATTACTGAATCAGACCGCAAACCAGGATGATCTGAACTTTTGTTTACCTTCTCATTATTTCTGCGGTCCAGCAGTAACTGCATTAGAGTGACCTTATCTTGGGATTTTATGTCCGGGCTGGTATCCAGATCTACGGCCTCGTGGACCTTTGGCACAGAAGTTTCCGGCTTCCATTTGTTTACGAGAGACTCTGTGAGCTTATCCATCAAGGGGGGCAAGGAATAGCAGGGCTCAAATTTTTGGCAAGACGTTCTGCTTTTCATGGAAAGGTCGATGGGGGAACAGCTGGACAAGCTCTCAGCATCACTGCTGTCTTTGGTCAGGCTGTTATCCGGGTTGGAGTACTCGCTGTCAGACTGCAAGGAAGAGGCACAGCTTGGGAGGATGCCGCAGTCTTCCTCTAGGTGTCCGTTTCTGGTGAGCTGCTGTTGGGAGTTGTGATTGTTAAGAAGTAGAAGCAACAGACTGCTGCAGTTCTGTGGCGGTCGACCGTGCCTGTCAAAAGGCCGTCTCTCTTTAGGGGGTCTCGTGGAGGGTGAGGAAAGGGAAGGGCTGCTTTTGCTGGAGTTAACCACTAATGGGGGGATTGTTCCGTTTTGAGCATTTAAGGAGCTTAGCATGTCTGGGGTGGTTGTTGGCTGTCCCATGCTGGGAGGTCTGTTATCCTGTGTTTGTTGAGTAGCCATAGCAGCTAGCCTCTCACTTGCTGATCGACTGGTTAATTGTGCTTTTAAAGCCTGCTCTCTAGAGTATTGCTGAAGATGAGCCTCGCTGGACAGCAACAATGCCAGCTGACTGCAGGCGACACTGGGTTTGGGTGAAGGTGCCGGACTGGATCTTGTCCGAACCATACTGGCAACAGCCTTGAGTCGTTCTGTGCAAGACATTGATTCAGAGCTTGTGGGCTGGGCAGAGTTTTGTGAGGACCGAGGAGAATCAGAGCCTCGGTTCTGGTTGCTCTGTCGGCAATAAGGCACAGTGTTATGGTTCTGATGCTTGCTTTTCCTCATGAGGCTTTTCAGGCGGCCTGATGCTGTGCCGTAACTCTGGTAGGTTTCCTTAGGATCAACAGGCGCACTTTCACTGCTCTCTCTGTCGAGCTGTTTGTGGCTTTGAGAAATGTGCTGTGACAAGGCGACACTCTGCAGCCGAGAGCTGAAGGACTGCAGCAGCGAAGCCAGCAAGGTGCTCTCTCCCTGCCCAGAGCCATCCAGGCCTCCTTTGTAGTGCTCCCTTCTCTGTCCATTTACCTCCACTCCAGTGCTTGATTGTTTCTGGCTGTCTTCACTCCATGCTCCTGAACGAAGCAGCCTGGCTTTTTTAAGGTGCTGCGAGGTTGCACTAGGCGGGCTACCCTTTTCTGGTGAAAGGGCGCCATGGTTGTGCAGCTGAAATGCCCTGGTTACGCTGTTGGCATTCTCTTCATTGTTGTGGACAGGTTCTGATCTTTGTGTAGCAGTGGCAGCAGGCCCAGTGTTGACCGGATGCATTAGCAAACCTTCCAGATATGTTAAAGCAGCAGAATCCTGGTGAGTTTCAGGGCCAGACTCCACCCCATGAGTCATGTTCAACAGTAATATGCCCTGATGTGGTGTTTTACAACTACTGAAAATGCCTCAGTAAGATCTGTGCCATAAATGATCAGAGCAGAGAACTCCAGCAGCTTTGTCTCTTTTCAGTCAGAAAGTTTTGCATACAGGTAACGTTAAACACGGCATCGCTGTGCATTCAATGAGTAAATCCACACTGCTTTAAAATGATGTTGTGAGCGCATTCAGAGGAACGAGGAGGTTTCTCTGTCCTGATGAAGCATATGCTCTATATTTGGCAGTTCTTCAGGGACTAACCAAGAGCTCAGTGTTGCCTGTTTGCTCCTCTGATCTCGAATGTGGCCACACGGGAACCTACAACACAAGAAAAGGAAACATTAGATGAGTGACAGGCGTCAACATCCCAGCATCATCAAAACAACCACAGTAACTGTCTTTGAAGTCTCTGTCAAAACCAATTAACACAAAAAAACTAATTAAATGCAAGAAAACGAACTTCAGAGTAACACAGAACTTTTTTTTTTACAGAGACTCCAGCAATTGTCAATCAAAGTGGCTCCTTATTTTAACATTTGTTTTCATGTGCAGTGGTTGTGTCCATTATTTCCAAAGCCAAGCATTTCTGAGAATTATCAATATCACCACAAATTAAACAAACATCTTTAAGTCTTGGCACAAACTGCACATTCAAAGATGTTACATACTCAATATTTTGAGTGGATGCCCCTTGGACGACGTCTAAGGAAAATAAGATGTTCCACAAATGTTTATAAATGTATTTTGTGCCTAAAGCATTTCGGTTTTGTAATAAATGAAGGTAATCGATGGATTATTTGTTATTATTATTATTTTTTTCCAATTTTTTGTTTGTGTTGTGTTGAGTGTGTCATTTTTGTTATATGTGAAGCACCACCATGTTAGAATAAATTGCCCCATGGGGATTAACAAAGTTTTAAACTAAACTAAATACAACATGCTTATCTTTGAAACGGACCACTAAAATGGCATTCACAAAATATGATATCTTAAAGATTCACACATCAGCTTTTTATGACAACACACACTCCCTTTTACATGAGAAAACGCTAAGTTGTATATAAATGAAAAAATAAAAACTATTCTAACGTTTAACGTCCATGTTAAATAAAAATGTACAATGTTTATTTTGCTAGTGCACATCGTTTCTCTTTAAGTGAACAATTAACCTGTGCAAGCAGTGCCGAACTGTAAAGTTGTGGGGCCTAGGAGAAAATTGGGCCCACTGTTGAAAAAACAGTGTCAAACAAAGCACAAAAAAAATACTATTTTAATATTTAAGTTTACACATTTTTATTAACTAACATATTTATCATAATACATATGTGAAAATATTTACTCAGATTTAAACAAATAAGTTTGCAAGTATTGCAAAGTATTGCAAATGAAAGTGCAAGTGTGCTGCAAAAACATCGGAGGTGGTGTTATGCAAAATAGATTGTTGTGCTGAAGGTTATGTTTCTAATACATTCTGCTTTTATTCATACTGTTGTTGTGTATTTATTATCGTTTTTAGCTATTTGTCATGCATGAATAGGCATAGGTCGATAACGGTTTTCAAGGTATACCATGGTTTGGAAAAGTTAAAACCGCCAAAACATTCGCTATACCATTCCATTCCTAATGTTTTTTTGTTTGTTTTTAGTACAACAGCATCTTCAGCAGAAATGATATCCAAAGATGCGGTTTTAAATTATTGACCTATTTACTTCTGCTGTGTTTACTGCTCCAAAATATAAAATAAGTTTCTCAAAATAAAATATATTGCGTTTAAAGGGGGGAAAGGTTTTTGTTTTTTACCCAGACATTTAAAAAGATAATATTTTACAGCAGTAAATGACAATACCGTCAAACCGCAATATTTTTATTCAAATATAAAAATGATATTTTTATTTTATTCATGCCTATGTATGAATTAAACATGGAGGGTTTTTTTTTCTCACTGTTTTTGTGAATTGTATTGTGTTTAATGGAATTGTGCATTGCGTAATGTGCATTGTTCATGATTTACACATACATGATCGCACTTATGTTTACAGTAAATATACAAGAGAAGTTTTTGTGGGGCCCTCCAAGAAACACATGGCTCTAGGCCAGTGATGTTTTATAAAAATTTGTTTTGTTTTTTTTAGGACAACAGTATCTCCAGCAGAAATAATATCCAAAGATGCTGTTTTAAACTGTAAATAAATATGTGTTTTTAAAACAAATGAAGACAGCAGAATTCAATTAATCTTTTAAGTTATTTAGCCTGACATGTTTAGCCACTGCTCCAAAATATTTTAAATAAAAAAAGCCACTGACCTAAAAAAAAATTAGAATATTCTGTTTTCAAAGAGGAAAAAAAGGAAAAGTTTAGTTTTTTTACCCAGATATTTAAAAAGATTATATTTTAGAGCAGTAAGCACAACACCTTGATATTTTTATTCAAGTTTATCGTACCATCAGAATCTTATACCGGCCCATGCCTATTCCCAAAGTGGGGGCCGGGAACCCCCCAATTTTATTAAACTATTAGAATTACCATTATTGTATAATAACCCACTGAAAATGAAAATAGTAGTTCATGGATTCAGCCTTTCAAATTGTTTTTCTATTGGATTATGACCCTTTGGGTGATTACATTATATTAAAGACGGCAATAGCGTCAGATGCAAAAGATTGATTTTATGGCACCAGGTTAAACTTTCTGGCATATTTACAGCACTCAAATACAAGTCACTGGGGCTCGCAAGTCACTGGCATTGATATTTTGGGGGGTATCATGGGCTGAAATGTTTGGGAACCCCTGCCCTAGGCGACCGCCTATATTAGCTCTTAGATTTTTTATTATTATTATTTTTTATTTATTTATACAGGGATAATGTACAACATGACATGTTGTGCTAGAGTTAATTTAAATCTGTAGTCCCTGGGCAGGAAGTACCAAATTTAACCAATACAATATACACTTATAATACAATAAATACAATACATCATTGTCAATTAAATGAAATCAAATCAGTGGCTGCATATTTGATTTTGTTTGAGCCAAATTTTAAGAACAGTTTTAAAATGATTAAAAGTGCTGCTCTCTCTGATATACACTGGTATTTTATTCCATCTATCTGCTGCTTTAACTGAAAAAACTGATTGTCCAAAAGCAGTTCTCTTAAGTTTAACTGAACAATCACCTCTAACAGATGACCTAGTCTGTCTTATATTGTCCTTGCCGACAATCACACATTGTTTGAGGGGTGGTGGTGCAAGATCATGAAATATTTTATGCATTAAACACACATCAGCATAAAAAAGGCCAGCACTGCAGGCAAGTCTGCAGCATAAACCACGGCGAATGAAGTTCTGCACAAGAACTTTTGGCCAGCGGAGAAATTAAAATGGTCGTGCCCAACTGAGTCTGGTTCTCTCAAGGTTTTTTTTCTTCACTCCCATCAGGTGAAGTTTTTTTTCCCTCTCCGCTGTCGCCACTGCCTCGCATGGTTCAGGATTGGTAGAGCTACGCATCGATGAATTTGCTCTTCAGTGTTTGAACTCTCAGTAATGATTAAATCACACTGAACTGAGCTAAACTGAACTGAACTGAACTTAAAACACTAAAACCTGAACCACACTGTTCCAGTTACTATGACCATTTATGTGAAGCTGCTTTGACACAATCTACATTGTAAAAGCGCTATACAAATAAAGCTGAATTGAATTGAATTGAATTGAAAGTCAATCCACTGAAACAAAATGTTTGGTTTGGTAATCCTCAATCAAGTCTGACCATTTGCTTCTCGGATGACATCAGTTTGTCAATATCCTTAAGCACGCCCTTTTTACTGTTTGCAAGGAGGGAATGATGCGCAAAAAAGCAAGCCCCACCCCCTACTAAATATTCGGTTTGATTTAGAAGTATGTTAACATACTGAAATAAAAGTCTTGGCAACTTCCGGTTCAAGCTGACTTTATAAACAACAACAACAACAACTTCAACCCTTTTCCCTTCCAGGTAACACAACATGAATCCTGATTCAAAAAAGGTCTGTCAGCAGCCCCTCACGCTCAGGCCAGTAGTGGCTCAGCGGAGCTGGCAGGTGTAGAGGGGCACACATGGCACACCTGTCAGACGCTCCTCCACAGAGCCACGGCATCAGATAACATGACAGCACCGCTGGCCGCTCGCTCCACGGGCTTGAACCCTGTCAGAACTGCTTCCATAAACACTCCCGACTTCCCACTGTCAGGGCCACCACCACAAAGGTTAATTAATACAGGATTCCAGCTCCCCTAAAGCAGTGCTCAGCTGCCAGAGAACATCTTACCCTCCATGTCCTGCCCCTTCAGCAGCGGGCAACGTGTTACAGCGGTTTGCCGAGGAGTTAAGCTCGACCTTGAGCTGCGGATGCTGTTACAGCAATTCGACAGCAAGCACACGCCTGGAATATCCTGAATGTGCCGTAGTAACTTTAGATCCTCCAGATGACGTGACAGGAAAATCCAGCGAGAATCAGCACAAGGTCACACGCATTTAAATTTGATGCAAACTGCATTAAGTTGCAAAGGTCGAATGCGACACGTTACAAGTGCGAGGAGGAAACTCATGCATTAACTAATTCAGTCTTGGTTACATGATCGGCCCAAGCCACTGACCTAAATTTAACAACAAAGAGGACGACCTGCTAGAACGGGGCCATCTGACGTCTCGCGCTAATCTTAATGGGTTAGATTAAGATTAATTTCCCACCAACGGAGGTGCTGCTGCTACCCTACGAATAAAAGTTCAAACTTGGGGCAGACGGGAGTAAGAAGATAAACAGACAGACTGGAGCATAAGAGCAACGTAGTAAACACATCACTCAAGAAAAATCAATATGGGATCAAGGTAGATTAGAGCTTGTCCATGAAAACAAAAGGAAAAGAGTTGAGTGAAAATGAAAATTCGCCCATCATTTACTCGCCCTCATGTCACTCCAAACCTGAATGGCTTTCCTTCTTCCAGTAAATGGTAGTCAATGAAGAACAAAACACCAACAGCAACAGTCAAACAAGCTTGAAATGACATGATGGTGGGAAGCAATTGAGTATTATTATTTTGGGGTGAATTAATCTTTTTAACAAGCAAGACTTAAGAGATACAGAGACTCGGATATTTATTGTTTAACACAGGGGTGCCCCAAATTATGTCCTGGAGGGCTGGTGTCCTGCATAGTTTAGTTCCAAACCCAATTAGACCATACCTGTCAACATTGGGATGTGAAAATAAGGGATATGCCCACCATAATAAGAGATTTTATTGGAGTAACAAAATTGTTGAAGCTACAAAATAAAAGTCTCTA